GGCGCTTCTCTCACGGTGTGACATTAACATCTCTGTTAATGCCAGAAGCACTGTACATGGGCTCGCGACAATAGTTTTTTTGTGCTTGAAGATTCCCTTCACTGTATTTCTCTTGTTCAGAGGCAAAGCCAAGAACCACAACTAGCCAGCCCCTCATGACTGCAGGAACAGATGACCAGTTTATGAGGAACTGAAAGACAATGATGTCTGGCTGTTTCAGGTTATAATGCTCTTGTTATGTCATCCACCCATGTCAGTTTGATCTCCTCTGCATAGCAGAAGTTCTCAACTTTCTTAACTCTCAGTAAATCCTGATGCAGAGGAGATCAAAGGACGACTTTATTCTGCCCTGGCCCAACCCTGGAACAAAACTGGAGGGGTGCTCGAGGGCACACGCCTGGTTGCTCGACTAAAGACTAAAGACACACAACACGAAGAGAGGCAGTAAGGCCCGGGTGAACTAAGTCGAGACCAAAAAGAACAATGGAGGGAGCTAAAAATACAGAAAACTACACAAGGAACTAACTGTCAAAATAAAAGCAGGAACCAAAGCAAAAGAGGGAGCAGGAATAAACTCACAGATAGCAATGACACGCAGAGAATGAGAAAACGCAGGAGGCACGTGAAATAAGAGAACAAGAATGAAGTGTTACAACCAAAAGACTATGACACTCGCTCTGTGGGTCCCCAACATTACTCACCCGGGAGAGATTTCATCATTAGATATTTGGATGCTGCTGCTGGGGCTTGATGCTTTGATTTATGGGTATTCAATTAAGCTGAGATATCCTGGCTGTGAAGGCCTTATGGCTTATGGTTGGCATTGTTTTCATGCTCTTTAGTAACGCCTCATGTCTTTTGGCTGTGACACTGTGATCATGGGGCAGATCATGTCACAGAGCATGATATTAATGTCACATGCAGGGAAGCATCTGCATGCTACCGCATGTATACCAGTGTTTTCGAAGCACATAACAGAAGGGGGCATGGTGTAGTTTTGTAACATGCCACTGAGTCATTCCTCTACCCGGAGGGCAGACATTTTCACCTTGCTCCAACAGGCAGGCTCACATTCTGTCTCTCTGTCTCACTCTCTACGCCTTTTTCTATGTGCATGTGTGTGTCCAGACTAGATACTGTCACAGTCATCCTATCACGCCCGCAACTGTGCATCTTAATGCTCTTCTTCTACTGCAGGCAAGTATGTGACATGCAGAAAATTAAGGTGTAAATACATGACTGTGTGTGTGGGGGGGGGGAACCTCCCTACCTTGGGGTTGTTGTATGGGCTTGTTACAGCAACATTCCTCCACTCAGCTGCTTCTGAACAGCACATTCCACAAAGAGAGGGAGGAAGGAAAAAGAAGAGAGTGAGTATAGAATGAGGAAGGACTGGAAATGAAGAGTCAGTGAAAAAAGGAGGGGGGGGGAGTGTGTATATGTTTGAGAGCTGTAGACGTATCTGTGGAGAAGGAGGGGTAAAGAGAGTGGAGATGCACTGGCAGAGGAAATTGGTAAAGGAAGGGAAAAGGGTCATAAAAATATCATGTGTAACTGATCCTCCCCTCCTCTCTTGTGAAATTTTGACTCCCATCTTCTCTGCATGGAGATCAGAGGTCAGGGTCAGATGCAGTGCAACCAGAGCCAGTGCTGAGAAAAGAGAGAAGGCCACAAGCTCTTTCCTAAAATATTCCTCATCATACAGCCATGAGAGAAGTCATGCACATGCGCGCACACACACAGAGTACAGTAGACCACAGTGCTCTTTGATGTGTGTTTATCTCCTCAGTCTGCTTGACCTGTTTCTAATGAACTATGCTGGGAGGAAACAGAATAATCCAGCTACACAATTACATCCTTCTGCACAGACTCACAAAGAAATCATTATTTATGTACCTTAAAACTGACACAGTATGCTTTTCCTGCTCTCCATCCCACCTGTATTCACACCTTGTGCTTGAGAGGGGCAGCCAATCAGAAGAAACATGGGTTAAAGGAAGTGGTCTTAGAGGGAAACAAGCTGATACATGATAATGAGTAAGAATTTTTTTTATAAAGAAGGACAAAGCTACCGTATGCTACAGTCACATTAGGGAAAGCAGTGGTTGGGTACCAGTTGTGGTAACTTTGTGCAATGAACTTGCAGTCTTATTGTCTTCGAAGTAGTCTTTTCGAAGGCGGGGTCAGGTGCTCTCTTTAAAGAAACCTTGTTGGGTTAAGATGGTGAAAAGCTGGAGTCAGTCTGCAATAATTTATAATTAAATGGGGTCAAGTTGGCAATTACATGCAATCTGTTTGTGATATTACAGCAGTTATCTGTGAAAAACTGGGGAAACTGTTGCCATCTACATACACAGAAATTAACATTGACTACTTACATTCAGAGTCCAGAGAGAACCTAACAGATTTGTAAGAGAAATTCTTCCACAACCTCTGATGTAGTCGGTGCAGGGCAGCAATTTAACTCCAAAATGCTTTTATATAGGAATATAACCAGAGTACAACCAGTTAGCAACCCGACCAGCTGAGTCAAAGAGGTGCATCGTAGACAAGTTGCACTGAAAAGTGCAAACTGACTTAGCTTGACTGCAGCGTGTTAGCAATCTGTCTTCATTTATATAGTTAACCCTCACCAGTGTGTATGAGAGTTTTTTTTTTTTTTTTTTGCTCAATATCTTTGGGTTCTACTTTCTTAGGCTCTTTAATCCCCCAAAAATGTTCAGAATTCAGTTATTGGATTAGTAGATAATGCATCTCTTAAATACAGTAACAACTATAGATTCCATTCAGGGCACAGCTAAGGGCAAGAAAGTTTGACTCAGCTCAGAAATAAAATTAAACAACGAGAGAGAAAATGTAGGAAAGAGAGAAGGACATGAAACTGGGACAGCAAAGAAAACAGTGAATATTTACTGGGATAACAAGCAAATAAGTTTAAAGACAAGAGGAACAAAAAGCAGTTTGTGTGAGGAAAGGCTTGTTGGCTCTGTGACAGCGTCCCCTCTCCTTCTCCCTCTTACTCTAGCTGAATAGATGGGTTTGTTTGTTGTCAGTGCTAGAACTAAAGGAAAACAAAGTGACTTGATTCCCCTCTGTGTTTATTGGAAGACAGTTCGTCGTGCATAAGTGTCTATTGAGTTCTCGTCCCCAGACAGCTTTATCCTGAATACCAATTTGGTTCCTCTCTTTTTTTCTCCGTTTGTCATTCGCACTTTCTCCTCAGTTTGTCAGTTACATCAAATTTAAATGAACTGGATGTTCAAATTAGAACCTCTTAGCATTATTACATAACACATACATAATACCAATCTTCTGCTATATACCATGTACTTTCAATGCTAATACATTTTCTGCTATAGTACTAATAACTGCTATTACTTTTGCTACCACAATAGTGACAATTTTACACTGTCTGCATGCCTAATTAGAATTAGAAGGCCTTTATTGTCTTTGAAAAAAAAACTTACAACAAAATTAAGATCAGCATTATCACTGCAAAAGTGAGTATGTGACAAAACACATCACCTAAACACACACACACACTCAGTCACACTGGAGAATTAAATATGTGCGTGATACATGATACGTTTCTTTGTCTCTATTTCTGTCACATTTTAATCCAGATTATATATCTGACCCATTAATCTCTTAGCTGTTAGTTGCTTCTTCCTATCTATCTATCTATCTATCTATCTATCTATCTATCTATCTATCTATCTATCTATCTATCTATCTATCTATCTATCTATCTATCTATCTATCTATCTATCTATCTATCTATCTATCTATCTATCTTAGTTTTAGGATTATTTGTTATAGTTATTCTTTCTGATTTTAGACCACGGATAGTTAGATATTGAAGGCCAATAGATTTCATTACAATACATGTATGCAAATGTATGCAAACGTTTACTGATGTCCTCTATTTTTCTAATAATGAATGTGATCACTGATTTAAGAAAGTGACAAATAAAAAAATCATCCAACAATGTTTTTCCACCGATGTGAAGAAACAGAAATGCATGCATATATACACACTCACCTCCACTTTATTAGGTACACCTGTTATAATACAAATATCTAATTAGCCACTCATTTGGCATCAACTTAACGCATGACATAGACATATAGACATAGTCAGGACGACCTGCAAAAGTTCAAACTGTGCATTAGAATTGGGAGGAAGTTTGATTCCAGTGACTCTGAATTGTTGCTGGTGTCACATGAGCTGGTTTGAGTATTTCAGAAACTGATGATCTACTGAGTTTTTTAAATGGGGTTTATGGAGAATGGTCTAAAAGAAAGAAAAATATTCAGTGAGTGGCATTTTCTGAGAGCAGGTTATAGAGAAGGTTATAGTAATTCAAATTACCAGGACAGATCTAGAAAGGTGTATCTGTACATTCTGATAAACAGTTCCCATTAAATTAGTATTTGTTAAGTAGCGCTGACACGCAGAGTGAATTGCAATATATACCTATACTCGTAAAGTGCGAAGTATTACAATACTAAGATAGGATTGAGAAATAATTTGGTTACTAAAGTTTTAGACAAATGAAATTATGTAAAATGTACAGTAGAGTAGGACTATATCGTTCACGAAGATATAAATGTGTTTGTTTTCCCAATTAAATGTAATAATACTGATGACCTATTTAGATATATAATTATCAGACTGTAAGAAAAAACATTTTTTATGTGAAGCAGCATATCATCGAATAAAAACAAATAATTTTTTAAAGTATCGATAAAAATTACAGCAAAACAGTAACGCCGTTTATTTAAACCTTACGTTTTTGGATCGTAATTTAGCTCACCAATGACGAATAGCGTCAAAACGACAGGCACAGATTCTATCCAATGAGAACACGCTATTGGGTGGAGCGACACCCAGTTTAGCCACTTGGATTTTAATTCCTGGTCAGCGTTAGTCAATCAGATATAAGTATATCCTGGAAGGGGCGGGCCTAATTGTTCCTTGGCTTTACCCAGTCCGGATGTTCCCCAGTAGCGAATAACGAGCAGCAGTGTGTGAATGTGGCAACCGAGGTAGACAGGGAGGGGTACATAAGCTGGCCAGACCCAGGCTCTTGTCTTTTTTCCTTTATTTTTCTTTTCTCGCATAGCCAAGTGTTTACAGTTCGTGCACCGCCGCGGTTGTGAAGTTGTTTACGGGGCAGAAAATCCGGCCGCTTCTGCTTTTCTCTGGGACTAACCGCTGTCGTTGTGAAAACAGTCCAGAAGAAAGAAAGAAGGAAAGGGAGAAACAACATGGGGCGATAATTAAAAAAAAAAAGGTGTTGTGTTGTGAGCGGACGATGACTCTCTGGGAGGACCCGTGAAGCTTATTTATTTTTATTTATTCCCCTCCCTTCCTTCTTCCCTCTTTCCCTGTGTCCGCTTTTGTTTTATTATTTTGTAACATTTCCCCTACCCCCCTGCCAGTTTGGGAGATTTTTTAAAGGAAAAGGCAACAAGAAGATTGAAGAAATGGACCAAGCCGGCATCCTGAGAAAGTTTATCCAGGGGGTGAAGACCATGAGCGAAGGGAACGATGAGAGGGGAGAGGATAACTTCGGCAGCGACTTTATGGTGGGTCAAAATTAACAGGCGCCTCCACCTAGCCTCTTGTATCCTATATCTGTCTCACATGTACCCTCTTCCCTTTATAACCTCCACCTTTTCCTCCATACTGACCCTTCATATCATACCCAGCCTCCCCCCCGTCTCCTGGTTCTCTGTGTATCCCCCAGGAGGTGAGGCAGGGGTGGCCACACTGCCCTCTTCCTTTTTCCTCCCATTTCCAGGCTTTACATGGCGGCCTAGCATTGTCTCCCATGCCACAGAAATACAGCCGATTCCGGTTTCTTTAAAATTTTTTTAAAAAGGGCAAATGATAAAGACAAGATATATTATTGTCTCTCTAGCTCTTGGTTATTTATTTATTTATTTATTTATTTTAATGACGTTGCTGGAGCAGCTTGTAGGTATATCTTTTATTGTGGCTATATGCTTGATTGAGACAGTGCAGTGATTCATTGTCCTCATAAGCACTAAATATCCACAAACCTAAGCTTGATTGCATGCTTTATTTCCTGTGGTTTTCTCTGTGTTCCAGTAATAAAAAAAATCCTGTCAACTATTTATAAAATGACTTCAATTTTAGTAGAAGTTTTAGCAGGTATCTATTGTGGTCATTGATAAATCTGGCCACTTGCAAACTTTTATTTACATTTCCAGTTTAAGGAAAGCAAATTGCAAAGAGCTCCCCATACACTGGACCCATATATTTAAAAAAAAAAAAAAAAAAAGACCGTTTAAACAAGGGTTGTCAAACCTAAGGCTTGGAGGCCAGGCAAAGATTCCAATCAGACCCTACTACAAAGTTTGGAAGACATGATTGAGGGTATAAATTTTGGACTTTTAACAGTATTTTCAAATGTTTTACAGCTTTATCTTTACTTCTAAAGGCACCCACATGGAGATTCAAGCTACACCAAAGATTTTAAAAATTAAATGTTTGAAAGGTTCCAGTTTTTTGTCTATTATAGAAATGTATGGTTGCTATATTTGATTATTTTTAGGTCATTTATGTGTGCAATGGATACACCTAATTGTAGCATGTAATTTTACAGGTTTTTTTCTTACAATTTAAGAGTCACGCTGACAGACAAAATTATTTTTCTATCATTCAGTTCAAACATGTAGTTAGGTCAAAGTGGGCTGTATCTGGCCCCCAATGTTAAAATGAGTTTGACATCCCTGATTTAAACTAAACCTTACAACAGCATTAGTTTTAATCTGGCAACTTTCTTACATGTGGAGAGGATCTTTTGAGATTAGAGATGCTTGCTGTTGAAGTGATTTTGATTACATATTTTGCGGTGACTGCTGACCCACAGTCCATTAGTTTGCCTTCACTACATAACTGGATGTCACTGTGTTGAAAGTCTGGACTCAAAATAGGACCAAGGCTTGTGAAATGGTTTAAAATGCCACAACAGGAATGTCACTCCTATAAAAACATTTCTGTCGTTGAGTCCACTTTAATTTAGATATGTTTAGAAATGTTCGGTGGAAATTGATTTACTATCTTAATTTACAGCAAGTTTACAGTTTAACAGGTTTAGACTTTCCTTCATGAGCAGCCTTATCATCCAGCCTAGTTTCATGTTAATCATGTTGCAGTTTGATTATGTGGGAATTAAGCTCCTCAGCACCAGAATGGTTAACTTTTTCCCCCACACACAGACTCTCCTCACTTCCCTACTTCATGCAAGCTGCTTGCTGGAGCTTGCAACATTCTTTCTTGGCCCATTTCATAACATTTTGTCCTGGCTACAAAAATGCAACTCTTTGGCACACTTTGGATCGAGGGCTCTCTTTCTCGTTCAGATTAAGTACATAACAGTTTCTATAATAAGCGAATCTGTGTCTAATTTTGTGCTCATGACTTAGCCTTCTGTCTTGTCTTTTGAGTGAGAGTTGCAGAAAACAAGGAGCTGGGAGATGTTCGGCAAAAAAAAAAAAATTTGTTCTCAGCTATGTGAGAGGCATTAAGGAAGTGCATGGTGGACGAGAGCTACGGAGCTGGAACTAGTCTGCTTTTGGCTTATTTACAGAAGATTCATTTCACCATGCATGCCCTCTTTAGATGAATTTTTACACGGTAGACTCAGTACAGTGTCCATATGTTTGTGATTTTATTGCCTGCCCGTTTTCTCTCGCCCTTAAATTCTGTTTCTAGACTCAACTGGTTAAATGCAGGTTCTTCTTTTAGCACCACTATACTTGCCATTCATAGATTACACACGTCCACGCCTTGTCAAACTGCCTACAACAACCACACGTTGTATGGGAAGAGAACAATTTTAAAGCTTTTAAAGCGGAAAGTGTTTCTTCCTGTCAGTTTTTCCAGCAAAACACCCCACCAAGCATTTTAGGCTATTAAATGTGGTGTTTTTAAGAAGTTGTAGGACACTACTGACTGCTTGTCAGGCTTTAACTCTTGATTATTTGTGTGATGTCTGTGGTTTCCTTTCAAATGAACTTCATTGGCATGAAATACAATATATTTCCCGTTAGCCTTAGGCTATCGCACATGTCTCTAGACAGTCCCTTGACAATCATGCAGCTCATATAAACTTAATCGCTGGGGCATTCAAGTGCTTCCATTAAATCAATTATCCTTTATCTCGTTAGTCATGGTAATCGGGGTTATTTTTGTACATGCAAAGTTACTGAATGAGGCTTATAAAAATTGGGCTTCAAGCTAAATTTTCTTAACAGCTGGCAGCAGCTTGTGAATGTTGAGATTCAGCTAAATTATTTAGCAAACGCACCAGCTAGCAGTCAAGAAAATTTGTCCTGATTGAGCACATGTGGCTTGTGTGCCAGTGTACAGAGCATTGTTGACGCTCACAAGCCGCAGCAAACATGTAAGTAAGTGTCTTAGCCAGTTGCTGCTAGCCTGTGGCGTTGATTTCAAGTCTTGTGTGAGGCTTTCAATTGCTGGAGTCAAGCTCGCAATACCACAAGCACATGGGGTGTGCTTCACTATGAAGTGAGTCACCAGAACACCCTGACATAACACCCACTTTAACTGCCTATTGTTGTTTATATATAGAATGTGTTTTATTGACATAATTACAGGCTCTAGTGGGCCAAAGAGTCAGAGATTATACGTTTATTTCAGTAGTTGTTTTGCTGTTTGATGCAGTGGGGAAACTTCAGGTTTTTCTTCCACCTGGGACGCTAATTGGAAAGTATCGTGGGGTATCTGGCCATGTTTGACCTTATTAGAAAACTTGACAGTGAGCTGTTTCAGTGGCAGTCATATAGAGGCAGATTACATGGGATGTATGTCTGCATACTTATGAAGTGGAGGATAAAGATGTACATTGAGAATTGAATGTTTGCTCCAAGGACCTACATTATTTATAGATATGACTGAGCTCTTGAAGAGCATTTTATGTCAGCTCTGAAGTGATTCACCTTCCATCTGTCATATATAAACTATTGCAATGGTGAATACCCTACTTTTGGCTTTGTATGATGTGAAAGAAGTAGCACAGAAGCTCCACCTATCTGGTGTTCAAACCATCTGTTTGCTGAGGTAGCCAATCAGAAGACTGTTGGCTTAAAGGGAGAGGAGCCAGGTAATAAGCTGAGACCAAGTATAGGATAAACAAGTTTGGGGTTCTTTTGAGTCATGGAAAGCTACTCTACTAGAGCCCAAGGGGAAAAAAAAATATGGAGGTGGAAATGAGCATGATTGGTCCATTTTAAGGTTAAGCAATGTCATCAGTAAAAGGTAGATGCATTTTTACTGTAAACACTCTTGCTTTGTAATGGTGACTTAATCCAAAAAGTACACATGCAAAAAAGGTCAAATATGTGCTGTTATTTGGACCATCTGTGCAGATGCAACAATGGCAATTGTAATTGTTTCAGAAAAAGGGGGGTTATCAGCTGTTTCTCTCAACCCACGACTTTTCAAACCAGCTATTAGTGCTTATGTAAGAGAGCCAGATTTATTTATTTATTTACTTTTTTAATAGCCTGGTCAACCAGACACGAAGGGGAGGAATTAAGATGAACCATCGAGTTTACTTAAAAAAAGAGAAAAAATATTGAAATTCATTTATTTTTAAAGTATAGGCTTTATGTGGGCATAAATTATGATTTAAAGTTTCTCTGTGCAAATTTCTGAAAAGCCTTGTTGTTAAAGTTGACCTGTTCTCATCAATTGCAGCTCAATATTTTTTTCCCTTGGCATCTACTTAAAAAGCTTTGCGTGATTCACAGCTCTAAATTAAAAAATATATATATATATATAATATATCATTACAAACCTTTTGTGCCATATAAATGACTAAATATTTTTAAAAGCCACCTGTACCAGCTCACCGGTGCTCTTCAGCTCCACCCTTTTCTACTGAAATTGGCAGTTCTTGTGAGCTCTGTTTGGGAACACAAAGTCGTTTTCCACCTGCTTCTCCTTAGAGTTACGGACCAGACCTGATCTTCAGAGTAACAGAGACTGCAGTTGCCAGCTACAATCAAAGATGGGTGAATGGGTACGTTCAGCCATGGACGCATGTCTCTGGGGAGTCCGGCGATCAGTATCGATCAGCACAATCATCAGGCAGCCTAGCTGGTTAGCAGTGACCATTCAAAATAAGAAAGCAGGGATGTAAAGTGATCATGGAGTGGCATAGTTCTCTCATACAGATTGCAAAATGTAAAATGCCACAATGAGTCTTCAGATTTCTTTGAGCAGGTATTATTATTATTGCGTAGTGTGCCTAAGTAAAGTTTCTGTGTGGGAAGCAGTACTTTGGATTTTCCCAGGAATAAAATTCATTTTAACTACAATGCAGAAAAGGCTTTGAAAGAGAAATGGGAAAAAATCCCTTTAACATGTCTAACTTAATTTCACAACCCATTCACACGCTGATGACATAGACTGTAAATAAAAGATTAAAATAATGTTACCAATTGGTTAGTGAAGTCCCATGACCCATGATGGTGCCTCGTGTTTTAGTCAGTATGACCCAGAACTTGAGATTAAGCCCATAAAGTCATCAGGA